ACACCATTCTGTACACATAAATGGCTTAGTTATAGTGATATAATAACGTTTTTGGTACATTATATTGATTGTATTAACGAACAAATATTAATGCAATAATTTAATTGTCAAAAAAAATTAAACATTATTTTTAAAATTTATTATTTTATTTAACTAACTTTATTCTATACGGAGGTCGTTTAAGTATACATATATTGTAAAAATGATATAATTATTATAATAAAACTTAATTAAAAAATACTTTGCTGAATATCTTGAATTTTGTATTTAACATTTGCAATTTAACACTTAGTTTTGTATATTTACTGATTCTTAGAGGTAATTTAAATTGTATATACTTTCCAGGAAATGAATCATATCAATATCTGTTTTATAAACTAAAATAATATGTACCTAATCTGAACTACGTATAATGAATAGTTGACGGGTTGTTTAGTGAAACTTATTGTTATGAAATTGCAGAATAAATTATTCGGATGTTGGACCATATCATAAAAAAATAGGAAATTTTAATCATGAATGTATTATTCTCTCTGCACAAATAAAGATGGAAAGGGCGAAACTACAAGTTCTTCTAGTAACCGGAACTGATTGTTTGGATTTGGTCTCAAAATGAGGGAAAACACAAAATTGAACCCAAAAATTAGAAAAATACATTAAGCGAACGAGAAAGAAAGTGCTAAAATATCGGAAAAGAAAATGTATAGTAGACAGATGAACAGAATATTTCAAGATGCTGCTAAAAGGGGGTCAAATGTAGTTAGGCAGTTTGACATGGTATTACGTGGACGATGGAGATTTATTACGTTGAAGACCACTTTATTGCTACTGAAGGTGCACATTGGAACTATTTTCACTTTGAAGCAGGTTATAGAGAGGTCTATCGAGAAAGGGAAATAGCTCACCTTCTACTTAGTATCTCAAGCACCTAATCGTAAATCCAAATAGACAATCCTCAGGAAACTCTCTGTCATAAGCTCCAAAACTTTATCCAGTAGATCCGAACAAACTAAATACCTTTTTTGCAAACCATCCTACTTCTGTATCCACATCTGACCCCCTACCTTATCCCATCACTGAAACCTCCTTTGACCCAGATAATTTTTTTTTTCTTGATATCTCTCCAACTGACCTACTCTCTACTATCCTTAAATCCAAAACCAATGATTATGGTCCTGATCAAATTCCTATAAAAATCATTAAACTCTGCCTACCAAACTTACTTCCTATACTCCAACACATCTACAATTTCCCTCCAAAACTTCATTTTTCCAAAAGCCTGGAAAAAAAATCATTGTCTGGCCATTGAACAAAGTCCCAGCTGCTTCACTAGTATCCCACTTCAGACCCATTTCCATTTTATCTAATTTGTCCAAGCCTCTAGAAAGATTAGTTCACTCTCAGTTGAACAACTTTCTAGAGCAAAACTGTCTCCTCAATCCTCTACAATCTGGTTTTCATTCCCAGTATTCCACCCAGTCTGCCTTGCTAAGGATTACCCAAGACCTCCAATCCGCCATAGATAAACAGAAAATCTCCATCCTAATTCTTTTTGACTTTTGATCCCGTCAATCATGAGATCCTTCTTTCCAAACTCCAATGCTTGCCCTTATCAAATAGTGTCCTAAAATGGTTCCTCTCCTTTTTATCCCATTGCTCCCAGACAGTAGTTATTCCTGACAAATCTCCTTCCACCTCCCTTCAATTAACACAAGGTGTTCCTCAGGGATCCTCACTCTCTCCAACTCTGTTCTCCATTTATATTAGCGACCTTCCCGACTCCATTAGTCATTCCCATTATCACTTATATGCAAACGATCTACAAATTTACTCATCGTTCCAACCATCTGAGACGCCCAAGGCTATCCAAAAACTACAAGAGGATATTGCCTGTATCCATAGGTGAGCAGAAAAAAATAAACTAAAGTAGAATGCAGACAAAACCAAGGCAATCCTAATCGGCTCCAAGCACCTCATCAGATCCCTTTCTTTCTCCCCTTTGCTTTACCTAAATAACCGTCCCATCCATTTCTTTCCGACAGTCAAAAACCTTGGAGTGATCTTTGATCAGAACCTCTCTTGGAACAACCATATTTCCCAGATTACCCGTAAATCCATAACTATCCTTAAACAATTCCTTCGATTCCGTGATTCCATTCCAAAAAAAAAAAAACAGACAGCTCCTTGTAACATCCCTTGCCTTCCCCCACTTCGACTACGGTTGCCTGGTGTATGGAGGGCTGTCCAGAGAACTGGAGGTGAGACTGAAGAAAATTATGAATTGCTTCGTAAGATTCATATTTGGGATTCCCAAGCGTTCTCATATTTCTTGTTGGTACACCGAGTTGAAGTGGCTATATCCTACTTCCCGACGGCAATTCCTACTTGGTGTTTTCCTTTTTCAAGTTCTCAGAAGCAAAAATCCTCCCTACATCCTAGAACTCCTTACTCTATCCACTCTCTCAATACCAGATCTCAACCTATAGATTTATATATCCCCTCCCATAAAACCACTTCCTTCAGTAAATCCTTCGTCATTCATGCTACCTCCTTATGGAACTTCTTACCCATTGATAATAGAGTCAATACAATAACAAATTATTTATGTAAGCAAAATTAAAAATAACTATTCATTTAAATGGAACAAAATTAAAGTTAACGAGAACATAAAAGTAGATTTAAAAACAGTGAAGGAAGATATAACAAAAATAATAGTGTAGATAGAATTATCTAAAATAAAAAACGATAGAGAAAAATGTAAACAAACATTCTCCTGGTATTAGGATCCACAGCATTCAATCCATGGTACAGTACAACAAAATCAGAAAGATTATTAAGTTTCAGATTTTTTAAGGCATTATGGTTATCTGCAAATGTCTCTAAAAATATTCCAAAGTTGGAAGATCTATCAACAGAAAATGATTTAAACCGAGTAATTTCGTTGAGAAGGCAGGCTGCAATAATTCTTTTATTACTGCAACATTTCACTAATTTATCATAGGCCAAAGTATATTTTATCAGCACTAAATTCAATAGACTAAATGGCCTGGGATAATAGATGTATTAATAGAGATTTGAGGTAGGAAAATTTAACTGTATCATTGTAATTTATAATATGAATAAGGGCATCAAACAATGATTTAAAAGAAAGAAACTGTTCATATTGTCCAGAAAATTGAGGAATTTGTAATTCGGGCAATTTAGGATGCGCAATAGGATCAGACGCATTGCTTTGAGAAGTGGGAACTCTGACAAGCTCAGCTTTAATTAATTTATCATGGGCAGCCTTTATTTCATAATAAAGCTCCTTAGCTGCTAAAGATGATGAATCCACATCAATCCTATCCTCCTTCTCTACCAATTCATTAAGCACCGAAATTTGGTTTAAGATTGCATCAAATTTCTCAAGGTGGGAATTAATTTCTAAGGCCCAAACAAGAAAAACTTTCTTTTTAGCAGGGAGACCCTTAATCATATTAAATGTAGTTTGAATCCTATGAAACAGCCTTTCTTTTTTAGCATTGATAGACATCTGCTTAGTTCTGTACTTGTGGATAAGCAAAGTCCATTTTACGTTTCTCCGTTTTGGATGAATTTGAAGTGAATAATTCCTGTCCCCTATCAAATTGTCCCTGTGATTTCCTCTTCTTCTTGGCGATATAATGACATAGTCACCAATTTCTGACCACTAGACATGTTAAATAAGCAAGAGGAACAGTCTAAGATAAACTTTCGAGAGCAACTGCACACAGAGGCCCGGAGACATGTGCACTGTCCTATCACGGCAGGAATATGTATCGGATGCCAGAAGATGATACGGTAGGGAAATAACTTTCCATCAGTCTGGTACGGTATCGGTACCCGGTGTCCTACTGCTTTATATCAGATATAATGATTATTTACGTTTGTATCTTGACATCTATCTGACTTCCATTCTAATATTTTTAAAAACGACCATTTTAGAGATTTCATAAAATAGGCAAAATTCGAAACAATCAGTTGAGATGAATATTGGAACCCGGGAACTGTAACCACAGCTAACGCGTTAACAACTAGAGCCCCATATGAACGAATTTAAGTATATAATGCCCCATATTTACACACCTGGTATATAATGCTGTACTCCAATACACCAATTTTCCAGACTCGTGGAAGTTATCCATACAATAAAAGAATAGAAAAACCTAAAAAGCCACCTGAATATCCATCCATCCTACTGTGCTATCTTATTGTTATCCATAATAGAAAAAAAATCCTAGAAAAACCGATATGCAAACGTATGACCCGCGTGGAGACCTAGAGAAAGTCTCCATCTCCTGGGAGGACAGTATACGAAGGGGGGGCAAGCATTGGAGCAGAAGAGAGTTTGCCAGAGAATGAGACACCTGGCCTAGACTCTTCAAGCAGCAAAACACCACCACACAGCGGTAATTGGGGATTATATCAAGATCATGATGAAAAATTAATATATCAGGGAGGTATTTACAAAAATAATTCTGTCATTGAACACCAGGAAACATTGATTAATTATTTGTTTCCTCATTAAATCTATATTAGAGCCATTGGAAACAATACAGTATAACATTTCAGTTAAGAGATAAAAACTTATAAATCAAAACACCGGTTTAAACAAGGAGTGGAATGAAGTGCTTAAACAGCAACTACTTACTTTGTTAACTGAAATAAATCAAACTAAAGTTATATTCATTAAATTCTAAAAGTGATAGTTTAATGAAAACACTTTTGACCTATTAATTCATTAAAAACATTTATATAATTCTATATCACAAATAGATAAAATAAAATTATTTATTATGATAAACCAAATTAGAAAAAATATATAATCACTTCTAATTCAAAGGCAATAATTAATGCAAGTTAAATATATAGAGGATGTTTGAAAATAAAATGTTAGATAAATAAGAAATACATATATTTGTCTTAGGAGTTTTAAAAAAATAATAAATAACAGTATGAATAAAAATTTCAATGATATTTACCTCAAATTGAGGCCAATTCATAGCCATATTGACACCATGGTTATTTGACCACCATTTTAAATCCTTCTCATGGTCAGCATTATTTATGGTATGATAAAACTCTTCATATATTTGTGGAAGCCTATGTTAAATACAATTTAATTACTTTAAAAATAAATAGCAAATAATAATCTTCAAATATATCATAAGAAAATGATTTGGCAATATCAGGGTGTACTATAACACTTTTGACCTAAAAACTTTCAATTCTCTAATAGGATATAAGTAAAGGTAACAGCCATTAAAGGCCACTTTAAACTATGGTCAGAAATCCCAATAAATTTCCAATGATATGAGAAATACTAATAAAAAATAAGTCTCAATAACCTCTGTTGGTTCAAAAGAATCTACAATCATTCATAGTATCTTTAGCGGTATAGATGGCATCAACTTAAACTTCAAAGCTTCATAATCAGATTCTTGAGATTTTCCAACAATAATGAAGTTTTTAGTACATGCAAGAAGTTGAACAGATCTACCAATATAAGTTTCAAAAGAAAAAAAAACTAGAGCATCAGCTTGTGTAATAAGAAATGTAAATATATTTCTTTAAGTTATTCCCATAAGTACAATTTGAATAGCTTATAGTCCGGAGCTGAGGCCAAAAAGGTGGTCTGATATAGAGGAAGTTTTTGACCATGGATTTCGAAAGTACTCTCACTATAGACTGTAAATATCAGCGTCTGCCACCCTAGGTAGGATGCAATAAAATTTTACTAATTTGATGATGGATAAAGTCTTTTATAAATAATACTAACATCCCCATAGACAAAAAAAAAATCTGACAACCGGAATCGCCAGCATTTCGCTGCCAATGGTGGTATTATGGCAGGCGGTTCAAAAAAACAAATTATTTAGATCAAAACATGACTTATATGAAGATGGTTGGAACCTTTTCTAAACAAAACCAGTCCACTCAGGGACCAAAAAAAACATAGTCTGCCAACCGGAAGTGGATGCGTTCTGTCGCCAGACCCGCGTCAAAAACCAACTTTTTTGTCTTAAAAAATTCAAAAACTTTAACATGGTTGAAACCTTTTCTTAACAAAACTAGTCCACTCACTGATCAAAAAAATCGTTTCGCCGGTAGATGTAGGTTAGTAAAAAACCACCTGCTTTCCTTTAAAATTTATTAATTCTATGATAGAAGAAATATTTTCTAAATAAAACTAGCATCCCCATAAAAAAAAAAAAAAATCTGACAACCGGAATCACCCGCATTTCACTGGCAATGGTGGTATATGTATGGCAGGAACGAGTAAAAAATTCACTTTTTTGTTTTAAACCTCGACCCATTTGATGATAGATGAAACCTTTTTGAAATGAAACTGGTCTATTAAAAGATCGCAAAAATAAAATGATAGTAATATTTGCTGACATTGAGTAAAATCGAAATCCGCCTACTGCAAGTGGCCGCGTTCGCCGGCAATCATAATTCAAAAACCACCATACTAGCTTCAAAATCTTACTCAAGATAGATGGAACATCAAATAAATCAGACTATTACCTAATAATGGGATAATTGTAATTCTTTATTATGCATCTATATTATTATTATCAAAAAAGTTGGCTTTTGACGCGTGTCTGGCGACAGAACACATCCACTTCCGGTTGGCAGACTAAGTTTTTTTTGGTCCCTGAGTGAACTAGTTTTGTTTAGAAAAGGTTCCAACCATCTTTATATAAGTCATGTTTTGATGTAAAAAATTTGTTTTTTTATCTGCCTGCCATACCACCATACCACCATTGGCAGCGAAATGCTGGCGATTCCGGTTGTCAGGTTTTTTTTTTGTCTATGGGGATGGTAGTATTATTTATAAAAGATTTTATCCATCATTAAATTAGTAAAATTTTATTGCATCCTACCTAGGGTCGTAGACGCCCATATTTACAGTCTGTAGTGAGAGTACTTTCGAAATCCATGGTCAAAAACTTCCTCCATATCAGACCACCTTTTTGGCCTCAGCTCCCAGGCTATTAAGGTTTTATATTTCAGTCCATTGTTGATTCCTCTGCTTTATCTACAGAGAATTCTGACTTACTTTCTCTAGATTTCTCATAATTTGTTTTATTTATGAAACTTAAGGCTATATAAAAACAAATATACATCTAGTAAATACGATAAATGACATGAGAACACTTGTAGAGAAAACACCCATTGGTAGCAGTCTAAAAAAAATTAAAAATTAGGAAATCACTAGGCCATCTTCTTTTTAGACGCCTCTGGGGATTATCAGAGATCAAAAAGGAAGCAAGATTATAAACAAGAGGATTCGGATGGTTATGAAGTTCATTATGGAATGATAGGTATTTGGATTGGGACAAATAGAAATCAAACAGAACATTAAGGTCTTTATGAATTATTTTATTTGTGACAAAGATAGGAGCATTGAGGATTTTATGAAGGGTTTTGGATTGGTTACGAGAGGAATTCAATGGTTTAGTAGAACCCTAAAGCTTTTGCAATTATGAGTATAATTCTTTTGTAATTAATTGTAGGGTTAGAGCGTTTGTCTAGTATGTGTTGGAGTAAGCCGAAAACATTGAGAAATTTATGTCGTTTCAGTCTTGTAAGAGGATTCCAAATGAGATATTTTTCCAGGTGGGGTTCTAGGTATCGGATTTGTTCAACGGGGATAAGTGGGGTGTTATTAAAGGATACTGTAGGACAGAAAGTTCGAGGTTTACGATAAAGGATAAAGATGATTTGATGGGATTCATTGGAATTAATTTTAATCCTCCAGTTTTGTCACCATTCTTCAAGGTTTATGTGTGATAGAAGATTTTGAGATGCAATTGCATTATTAACTGACAGCACACATTTGTCATCGGCATACATGGTGATGACAGTGCTCATCAAATTTAAATTTCTTTATCTTATTAATTTTTTTAAATTCTTTATAATAACCAATACTAATGGCTGGTCAATTAGCTCTAGGTATGTATGCTATTTGATTCAATTACATTCCCACACTCATTATCAAACTGGGGATATCTTTCCTCCTTTGGAGTTGGACCCAGGATCACTTCTGGTGTGTTTTCCAAGACACCTTTCTTGTGGCTGCTACGTAATTGATTTCTCACATATACTGTGTCAATAATTTTTCTTTTATTTGTAAAAGATTTTATAATTTAATCAACATTTAATGAAAAGGAGTTCCATAACTTTTATGTGTATTGAAAAATACAATAATCAATTGCAAGAAATTAAAAAATATAATAAAGAAATTAAATCATTTTAAACATATATAAACTATAAAAAAATGAGTATTCAATTAATTAAAAATAAAAATAACTTACTGGGGATCTTGAGATATATTTAAATATTTATGTAATGAAAATAAAGTTTCTTTAAAAAATTGAAGGCGTTGAGCTTCAAGAGTTTGGCACTTTTCAAAAACCACTGTCATATCTTCCATATATTTTGGATTATAACTGTTTAATTCCTGCAAGGCAACTTCATACTTTTCTTTACATCTCTGAACATCATCTTTAGTTTTTGCAACTCTATCTTGCATTTTTTTTACCTATATGAAAAAAAAATTATACATTAATCTAAAAGAAAAAAAAATTAAATTAAACTAACTAAATAAGCACAATCTGATACAACTAATCTACTAAATAAATTATCTAAAAATAAAAATTGTGCCTCTGTTTCTCAAATTATAAAATAGTCTTCATTTCTGGTGTCTACCATAATTTTAATAAATAAACAAAGTGCTTTATGATCATTCCAAAACCCTTCATTAGTGGTACAGGCAGTTTAATGATGAACATAAGATTGATACATAGAATATTTAGCACTATCATAGAAATTATTGTTGTACAAACTACATGGATACATTTCTTAAATATAATGATTAAAAGGAATAATAACGCAATATGGACCGCTTTGAATTAAGTGAATACTCATAAAGTGTATTATGACATCTAGTAATTTATTTTTATCATTTTTTTTTATCCCCCTTTCTGGCATTTTTGACATACGGGATTAAATTCGGTATGGGGTTAAATTTGGTGTTTTTTTCATAAACTGCGAAGATAAAAGTTGATACCTTATTGCTGTTCTCTATTACAAAATAAAGTGAGTTACAGGAAATTCTTACTTTAATATAGTTCCACATAAGTAATTTAGTTTCTTTATTGCTACAAACAGCATAATAATTATAATTATGACCAAGGGACAAGTTTTTGAAACCATACTACTTGTCAGTTATTGGATATCTCTAAATTAAAATTATGGTTGCTACAGAGTTTAGAATTGAATAAAAAAATACTGAAACTACCATAAACGACACCCGATGGCATCACAGCATGTATTGGACTTGTCATTTACTTCCAGCGACGTTCACCGTATCATCCGAGTTCATGGTTTTTCAATTGTAATTCTTAGTATTAATAATTAATGTGGAAAATAAAGATAGTAATTAATAATTATTTATAGTTTCAATTTATTTATCTGACAATAAATGAAAGGGAGAATGTAATAAGTATAGTCTAAAATACAATGGGTGCGTACAGCTGAAATAGTTATGTGGTTTTATAGTTTATAACAATAATGAAAGACTCAGGGGTTCATAATAATCAAGGCTGCAGCATACTTTAAAATTTTCCATCTTCGAATTACAAACAATATTGTATACAAAGACATCAGTTGTGACAACGTATCGGCTTTAACAATGAAAATGCCATTTCTGATGATTTAGAAAGCTTTTATAACATAGTTTTTTATGAATATAGCGATTGGATTTAATGACTTAAATAGTTTATAGAAAAAATGATCAGATATGACGACAGTTGGCTTCCAGAACTTCTAAAACCTTTGTTTTATAACTCATTTATCCAGGAAATCTTTTATATCATTCCTTCTCTATGTAAGCATCACATTTACATTGTCAATTTCATACCCACTCTTAGCGTTAAATTCATATTTCAGTTTATTAGTTTAATACGAATAACAAAGAGCAATGAGTTTTCGCTTGGAAGAAAAATTTTATATATGCTGCCAACTGGAGAGGGAAGAGTATAATAGTAGCCTGGCTCTAGAATTAAACGTAAATTTTACAATTTGAAAAAAAAAAATTGTGAATCTATTTGAGGGAATGCTGAATTTTTTTTTTTTTTTTTTTTTTTTTATTTCAATGGAATTTACAACTGTATTACATAGAGAATACAATAAGTAAATGAGAAATTTGTAACATGGCATGTACAACATGAAGAGAAACTACCCATTGGTAGAACTCAAATTAAAGTTCTATATTAGAAGATCCCGAGGCCATCTTCTTTTCAGACGCCTCGGAGGATTATCAGGGATCGAGGATGAAGCAAGGTTTGAAACGAGAGGATTCGGATGATTCTGCAGTTTGTTATGGAAGGAAAGGTATCTGGATTGGGCCAGATCGGAAACATATGGAACATTAAGGTCTTTATGGATGATTTTATTTGTGACAAAGTAAGGAGCGTTGAGGATTTTACGAAGGATTTTGGATTGTAAGGATTGGATACGAGAGGAATTCGATGGTTTAGTGGAGCCCCAAAGCTCAATTCCGTAAGTCCAAATAGGTCTTATTATTGTCATATATACGAGTCGTTTATAATTGATTGAAAGCTTAGATCGTTTGTCTAGTAAGTGCTGCAGTAGTCGAAAACGTCGGGCGGTTTCTAGTCGTTTCAGTCTGGTATGGGGGTTCCAAGTGAGTCGTTTGTCAAGGTGGAGTCCTAAGTAGCGGATTTGCTCAACAGGAATAAGTGGAGTATTATTGAAGGATACTGTAGGACAAGAGGTCATAGGTTTACGACGGAGGGTAAAAGTGATTTGATGGGATTTGTTGGAATTTATTTTTATTCTCCAATTTTTACACCATTCTTCAAGGCTTGTGATATGTGATTGAAGAGTTTGGGATGCAATTAAAGGATCGTTATTAACTGATAGGATACACGTGTCATCGGCATAGGTGGTGATGACAGTGTTGGATTGCGTTGGGATGTCAGCTGTATAAACTGTGTAAAGGATAGGACCTAGGATACTACCTTGAGGAACACCGGCAGACTGAGTAAAAAGAGATGAATAAGCATTGTTATGATTGACTTTGAAGTATCTGTCAGTAAGGTAGGAACGTATAATGAGGAAGTATGTAGGTGGTAGGAATTCACGGAGTTTGTACATCAGTCCCGGATGCCAGACTCTATCAAACGCCTGTTCAACGTCGAGAAAGACTCCCGTGCAGTACATTCCGCGCTCCAATGCAGAAGAGACTACATCTACCACACGATGGCATTGCTGAATAGTGGAGTGGGATGTGCGGAATCCAAATTGGTGATCTGGGATAATGTGTTTAGAGTCTAGGATGGGATACAGGCGTTCTGAATCATTTAAATCCAAAAAACAATGACTATCTACTCACGACAAAATCGGTTCTTCTCAATATTCCATTATCAGAGTTAAGTCACATTTTACTCAAAAAGACTAACGAATATTTAAAATCAATTCACGATCCTCCAAACAATGGCCCACAAAAGTTTCTTTGATTACATGGTAAAATTTTAAGTTATTTGAAAATATGAAATTTCGCAATTTCTCACACACAAGGTAACTACAGCATTCATTACGTAGGTTTTTTCTCTTAGAAAGGTCATTTCAGAGCTGAAGTGTCATTTATAGAACTAGATTTCACAAGAACTAGATAGATCACAAGCCATGGCACACGAGACTCGGTTAAAGTCTCAATGTGGCCCTCGAGACAAAAAAATTGGAGACCCCTGGACCCCTGCTCTATTGAATCTTAAATTAGTATTTTGCGAGGATGGATACAAAGATTCTGTTTCCGACATAATACTATATTTTAAAAAATCAGCTGTGAAGCTGTCAGCATTCTACTTCAATTAACCAATGAGCGAAATCCAAAGGTTTAGTCGACAGTTCAAAAACATTATCAAGACACTGACATATTCAATGCGGTGAAAGGGAATTTTTTAACAAGTCGACAACCTACCAGACTTAACATTTTAAGGTCGACTAATATTCTAATGAAGGTCGACTAATATTCTAATGGGCGTTAGCCTAGAGAGAGAATTACTGTTAAGAAGTTCATTACCTTATATAAAAAATAATTATGTCCATAGATGTGTCTTGTAATATATACCTTTATTGAAAGTTGGCAAAAATGGTTTAATAAATTAATGTTGAACAGTTAAAAGGAAAGCTAATCTAGTTCTGCTAATGTCAGAGGATGTTTAAATTTGAAAAATAGTTTCACTAGTTCAGGGGAAAGAAAATGGCTACTCTGTAGTTTCCCAAAAAAGGAAAATCCCAAATAGGGGAAGGACAAAAGATTTTTGTTTTGGCAAGCAGTTGTTGTTTTGGATGAGAGACTAGTTGTTTGAAATTACAAGAGAGAAGATCTCCCAGGAAGCTTGAGGTGAGTACATGAAAGTGTCACCATTTTGGAAGGTGTGTTTGGGAGCACTTTTGGAAGGTGTTTGAAGACAAATGAATTCAGTGCAAGAAAGGAAGAAACAGTATATATAGAAAAAAGGTTAGCTTGCCAATTCATACTTGACTTTATTTTAAAATCAATCAGTGTTTAGTGTAGTTAATATTAAAAAGGAAGGAGATGGTCCGGGGTCGCGGTCATAAAAAGGCTAAATAGTGGTAAAACTATTTTATTGAAAGCCAACGTTTCGACCCGACTTTGCAGGTCTTCATCAGGGCTAGAACGGACAAGATACAAAAAGATAGAGAATTGTGGCAATTACATAATATTTAGACATAATTTATAAACAATGTGAATAAGCTTATTAAAATTATAAAGAGTAAGTACAATAAAATATGGACTAAGTAAGCTGAGTAACAAGATCCTAAACTAAAGTAAATAGATGCTAACAATTGTTGTAGTGTAATATATAATAAATGAAAATGTGAGTATAATTCTACAAAATCTACACGAGAAAAATAAAATTAGAGTCTTACAGGTGTGTTCATCTAGGAGTTTCACTTAGAACTGGAAAGGCAGCGGTAAGGATTGCAGGTATAGGGGAAGTTAACATGTGTTAACTAAGTAAACTTTGAAAAAGCCCAGGAAATTACAGTATCTAGGAATTTTTGAAGATATGGATGGATACAATGGAAAAATACTATATCTATGAAATATTAAATTATAAATATGTAAATATACATATAAAATAGAGTTGAGAGATGTGAGAGGTATTTCATGATTCTAGATCAGAGTACAATGTGAATAAACCCAAAATTGGCAAAAGTAAAATATAAATATAGAAATAACTTCATTAACATACATACATTGCAGAGCTAGCTTAAAAGTATAGAGAGGGAGAGGGGGAAAAAAAAAATTTCTCTTTATTATTTTAATAAGCTTATTCACATTGTTTATAAATTATGTCTAAATATTATGTAATTGCCACAATTCTCTATCTTTTTGTATCTTGTCCGTTCTAGCCCTGATGAAGACCTACAAAGTCGGGTCGAAACGTTGGCTTTCAATAAAATAGTTTTACCACTATTTAGCCT